GCACTGCTGGGCCACAAAGGAAGAAGCAATCATGCAGGCAAGATAAAACTAAATCGCAAAGCAATTAGTGAAAAATACAAGATAGCTTATAAGTACTAAATTGTTTGCTGCAGACTATAATTGTGTTAATAATAAGTGCCATTTGTACGGCACTTTAGAGTTTACCGAGCACTTGCAGATGTATTATCGCAGGTAATCCTCACAACAGAGCAGCCAGGAATGCACTGGTACTAGCAGATAAGGAAACTGAGGCTCACCTGCGCCACTTGTTTGCGACCATCCTGTCGGCCAGGAAGTAGATGACTAAGAAAGTACTTCAGACTAAGTGTAATTTCATTTGATACACGATCCGGGCTTTTTCCAGTAAGGTGTGTGTGTGTGTGTGTGTGTGTGTGTGTGTGTGTGTGTGTGTGTTATTCTCTCTGGAGTGTGTTGTGTGTGAGTGATTATGTTTGTTGTGTATGTGTGTCTGAGTGTGTCTGTCCGTGTGTGTGTGTGTGTGTGATTATGTCTGTGGGGTATGTGCGTGTCTGTCCGTGGCTGGTTGTGTCTGAGTGTGCATGTGTAGATGTGTGCATGTTCTTCAAGCAGCATCTCCCTCAGATTTCAAGCTCCCCTTTCCTTGCTGGCAGGACTCACCTGTGGCCATTGTATTCCATGCATCATGTCTCAGGTCTATCTGTCCTCTGTACAGGTGACTTTATTCCAGGCCCCCTTGCACAAGTGTGGTGGCCTCCTCTCAGAGCTGGGGAGGTCTCTGAACCCTCCCAAGCACAGGGCTTTCTCTGCTCAAGACCCTCAAAGACGCAGCAGCTAAGGAACAAGACACACCGCAGGGGACAGGGCCAGCGACTGTAGTTTGGAGTCCTGCCCCACACGAGTGCTGGCTGGAAAGCAGAGCTGCAGCATCCTCTGGTGGCCTTCTCGAAAATTGCATCCAGTTCTCAAAGAACTGGTCATTATGATTTTTCAGCATCAACTTGATGGCAAGTGAGTTTGGTTTGACTTTTTTGTGTGTGTGTCATTATGAGTTGGGCTGCTAATGGCGAGGTCAGTGGTTCAAAACCACCAGCATTCCCTTCGGTAGAAAAATGGAGCTTTCTGCTCTGGGAAAGATTTACAGCCTGGGAAACACAAGGGCAGGTGTACTCTGTCCACAAGGGCCCCTAGGGGGAAGAAGTGACCCAGGGGCAGTGAGTTTGTGCTTGCCTTTGAGTAGCTTCGACTCAGATCAATAGCGCCCTGGGCTGCAGGGCCTTTCAGAAGCAGATCACCAGGCCTTTCCACCCGACCACTGCCTCAAACCTTAACCAATTGTACCTCCATGGTCCAAATAACTCCAGGTAGCACCTGATTTCTCATTGAAAGGTAGAGCGGAGAGAGTCGCAGAGATAGGGTCAGGGCCTGTGGAAGGGTAGGAAAATCAGAGCACAGCAGAGTGATCCTCACAAGGATGTGGTGTGATGAACACATTCACACACACACAGAGTGATCCTCACAATGAACACACACACACACACACACACACACACACACACACACACACACACTTGACCTTGAATCTACAGCTCCTGGGTTCAGTCCTAGCTTCTCGGCTACCCATCAGCGTGACCCCCTTCATTTACATCTTTCTGCGCCTCAGATCCCTACTCTCTGAAACGAGGACCGTCATTATACCTACTGCCCAGGCCCCTGTCAGGAGAAAATGCAGTGCTGATGTGAAGTGCTTCCTTCTACCAGGGCCCCAGGATGATGTCTGTGGGTAAGAGACCCTTGCACTGTTGCGGGCCTCTTTGCCCACGCAAAATAGTTAAAAGGCTATCATACAATCGAAAACCATGTGGGCATATAACCCAAGCTGGTTTACACTCATTAATTTTGGGGGGTGGGGGTGGGTTAAAATAAATGTAAAGTTTTCCATGGGTCCCTAAAGGTGTTGGGGCCTCTAAGCATTAGACTCTGGAGGCCCCAGAAGTACATGCTAGTGGACAGGAAAGGGTCCCACAGACGAGGTGCTATGGCTGGTGAGGGGTCTTTCTTTTATTCCTTGGGAATGCATCTTCTATAGCCTAGGGTCCACCATCCCTGCCCCGCCCTCTTTGTGCTGAATGCCATGGTGACATGTTGAGGTCTCCCGTAAAAAGAGTTCTGATTCGTGGATCACAGCTGGGGAAAGGACCCAGGACAGATACTCACAGGGTTAGTTCACAGGAGCCCTTATGCCATAAGCCTTAGTGTGTTGCAATAGCGCCCTCTGTGGGCAAAAAGCTGCATTCAATTAAGAAGCCAATATCCCTGTGCCAGTTTGGCCTATAGGTCGCCTCTCCTGTGTTGCTGTGATGCTGGAAGCTATGTTGTGGGCATTTCGATTACCAGCAGGGTCACCCAAAGGGAACAGGGTTCAGCAGCGCTTCCAGGCTAAGGAGAGTCTATGAAGAAGGCATACATTTCTGAGGACGTAACCACTGAAAACCTCATTGCTAACAGCGGAACATTGTCAGATACAGAAAACCTCAGGAACAGCAGCAGAGTGTCGTCAGAGATGGTGCCGGAAGACGAGCCCCTCTGGCCGGAAGGCACTCAGAATAGGAAACGGACATCAACACTTGGTAGGGTGCCCCTTGCAAGATGAATCAGCACAGTGACTTGCAGCAATAGGCTCAAACACAGAACAGTGGTGAGGGCGGGACCAGGTGATCCTTCCTTCTGTCTTACCAACGACCACTATTAGCCAGACCGGCTTGACGGGTGGCACCTAACAATGGTGACCTATGTGAATCATAAAAACAGTGGGGGGAGGAGAGGGGGGCAAGAAAGGTGACTCAAGGTTCCCTTGATTTATTAAAGTCCTTGGCTGGGGTCCCCCAAGCTTAAGGTCCCAGACTTCCCCGAGCAATCGCTAAGAATGGCAGATTCTACCCCACGGTGCCCAGAGTTCTGCTGCTGCAGGTCTGGCCTGGAGGGGGTGGGGTATGGACACTAGAAAGATCCTAGGGCCACACTTTGAAAAGCACCATATGGTACCAGGCCCATGCCTGGCACCTGGGACCTGGCACACCCATTTCCTGACTGGTTATGGAATGCCCTAGATATTGTGCTTGGCCAGGGTCATGCTGGGAGCACAGGGTGGGGGTGGGGAGGAGGTGTGTATGTTTTATTATATCCATACAGTCCTCTGTACGGATATAGCATGTAGAATTTATACATGCTTTACTATATACGTATTAAACCCACTGCTACCCATTTGATTCTGGCTCATAGCCACGTCACAGAGGGCTTCCCAGGCTAGCAGTCTTCATGGGAGTGGGCAGCCTTGTCCTCCCAAGGAGCAGCTGGTGGGTTTCAACTGATGACCTTGGGATTAGCAGCCCAAGGTTGATCCCTACCAAGCACCACTATCAGGAGCACAAAATATTGTGTGTTTTTAACCAGTAAGAGTGCAAATCGGAAACCTTTCAGCCTGCTGTGCCAGTAATGCACAATGGATAGCTACTTGCTAACCCCAAGCAGCTTCAGGAGAGGTGGTTACGTACTATCTAGCAAGGAGAATGATAAAACCGCCTG